TTTTTCGCGGTTTTGATATCCAGCCTCAGAACTGGGGTGGGGATCGCCGGCGCGGGGGTCTGGGGCTCCCCCTTCCCCCTCCCGGGGAGGGGGGAGCTGCGCAGACATGCGGCGCGGCTTGCGTGACATCATGCTTGTTAGTTCGTTTTCCTGGGGGAGTTCTGTCCACTCGTTTGTCGATTTTTGTTGTTAACCAGAATAGGGGTTTGTTTTGTGGCGCTTACCTTTCTGGGTGCCTGTCATGGTCAATGGCAGATATAGAATGCTCCAAATCACATGTGCATTTCTATGGGCCATTGCTCCCCGTGCCTCTCTGAGGGGGCCAGGTTCTGGCTCGTGGTCCCCGGTAGGCCTAGAACTCCACCCACATCGACTGATGCAAAATAGTTAGGGTATCCATATCAGCCATGGATAGCTCTGGGGAGCCTCCGGGACTCACCCAGAAAATGGCGTTTCATTACATTCAACGCTGGTTTTTTCGCCTCCGTTTTGAGTTTTTCTCCTCCCGTTGCCATGTCTCTGTTTTGTTCTTTTTTTGGGGGGGGGGGGGCGTTTTGCCATTTCTGTTCCTTTGGGAACATTTTTTTTTTTTTTTTCACCTGATTTTGTGTTTTTCTGTCTGTGTTTGGATTCTGGGCCCTGGTTTTTGGGCCCAATGTCCATGCCTGTTTGCTCTGCTTGCTCCCATGTCTTTTGACCATCAGTTTTCAGTCCGTTTCTGGTTGTTTTGGCAGGAGGGGGTTCTGTCTCGGTTTTGTGATTGGTCCTTCCTTCTGTGCTGTATTTCCACCGGCAAATGTGGTGGTTTGGGCTCCCCCCTGGGTTCGTTTCCGGGTTCCTTTGGGCTCTTTGGTTTTGTTCTGGAGGTTTTCCTTCTTCTTGGGTTCCCCTTTGGAAGTTCAGGTGACCCTTGGTGGTTACCTCCTGTGCACCCTGGACCTGCCTCTTTTGGAGTTCCGGGGTCTTCCTGGCTTGCAGACTGCACTCCTTGGATCTTGGCTTCTGCTTGTTGAGGTGGGCTTTTGGTGCAGCTTTTGTGCCGGTGCCTTCTCCGGAGCTGTCTTTGTTCGACACAGTGCTTGCTCTGCTTGCAAGTCGGCTTCTTGCTTTTCTTTATTATTATTTCTCTTGGAGGGTGTGATGGTCCCTTTGCGGGTCACCCCATTGGTGGGGCACTGGAGGGGAGGCTTGCTCTGTTTGCTCACGCTTGGTCCCATGTTTCATGGGCAGTTCAGATTGTGTCCTCCGGCCTGTGGTGGTGTTGGGCAACTCCTCCTTCTCCTCCTCCTCCTCCTCCTCGGGGGGTTTGGAGCTGGCGGGGCAGGCTTCTTCCCCTTCACTCCGTCGGGTCATCTTGTTACAGTCCCGCCAACGAGACTGTGTGGGTTTTCAGTTCACTCTGGTTTTCAACTGTCTGTAGTGCTGGCTTCCTTCTGGATGACTCTGTCCCAAGCATTCAGACAAGACCAGTCACAGTCAGTCCTAATCAGAGACAGTCAAGCATTCACAGTTGTAGTGGCAACCGGTTAGGCATTTACGGTCAGTCACACATTCACAGTCAATCAACCATTCACAGTCAGTCATCCATTCACAGTCAATCAGCTATTCACAGTCAATCAGGCATTCATAGTCATTCAGGTATTCACAGTGGCAACCTGTCAGTAAAAATAAGAGTTTAATGACAGGCACTCAGGGAGTCTGCCTCCCGATCCATCAGCTGGTAGCAAAGAAGCCCTCCATATTATTAATACAATCCATATGGCTGGGAAGGGTACAGCAGGGGGGATCCAGTGTGGGGGGATGAGGGGATGGAGGTAGTGGGGAGGATGCGGGATGGGGGGATGGAGGTAGTGGGGAGGATGCGGAATGGGGGGATGGAGGTAGCGGGATGAGGGGATGGAGGTAGTAGGGAGGGTGCCCAGCTCTGCCAACCATCTTACAACTGCTCGCCTGCACACACTGACACCTGCCTGACCACTGCTGCCCGCCCCTCCATCCATCCATCCATCAATCCAGTCCTCCACTATCCATCCATTGAGGTCCACCTCCACCATCCATCCATCCAGTCCCCCTCCACCAGCCATCCATCTGGTCCCTCTCCACCATCCATCCATCCAATCCCCCTCCACCATCCATCCATCCAGTCCCCCTCCACCATCCATCCATCCAGTTCCCCCCACCATCCATCCACCCAGGTCCCCATCACAATCCATCCATACTGTTCCCCCCATCATGCATTCAGTTCCTCCCCACCATTCCTCTATCCATCCATCCAGTCCCCTCACTATCCATCCATCCAGTTCCCCCCCACCATCCATCCAGTTCCCCCCCCCCCCCCCCCACCATCCATCCAGTTCCCCACCCCCACCATTCATCCACCCAGTTCCCCCCCCACCATTCATCCATCCATCCATCCAGTCCCCTCACTATCCATACATCCAGTAGCCTCACCATCTATCCATCCAGTTCCCCCCCCCCCACCATCCATCCAGTCCCCCCTCACCCTCCATCCATCCAGTTTCCCCCACCATCCATCCAGTTCCCCCTCACCATCCATCCGTCCAGTTTCTCCCACCATCCATCCAGTTCCCCCTCACCATCCATCCGTCCAGTTTCTCCCACCATCCATCCAGTTCCCCCTCACCATCCATCCGTCCAGTTCCTCCCACCATCCATCCAGTCCCCTCACCATCCATCTATCCAGTTCCCCCCACCATCCATCCAGTCCCCTCACCATTCATCCATCCAGTCCCCTCACCATCCATCCATCCAGTCCCCTCATCATCCATCCATCCAGTCCCCTCACCATCCATCCATCCAGTCCCCTCATCATCCATCCATCCAGTCCCCTCACCATCCATCCATCCAGTCCCCTCACCATCCATCCATCCAGTCCCCTCATCATCCATCCATCCAGTCCCCTCACCATCCATCCATCCAGTCCCCTCACCATCCATCCATCCAGTCCCCTCACCATCCATTCATCTAGTTCCCTCCACCAGTATTGTGCAGAATACCCCCATTGAAAAGCAGAGGTGCAACAGGTACTCTGAGAGAGAACTTTACCTCAGGGTACAGTCCTTGCACCGCTGCTTTTCCTTATTCTCATATCAGATATAGACAAAAATACAAGTCACAGCTTCGTATCATCCTTTGCAGATGACACAAAAATCAGTATGAAAATTACCTCGGCTGAAGACATTGAAAAACTTCAAGCTGATATTAATAAAGTTTTCGACTGGGCATCAGAAAATAACATGATGTTTAACAGTGATAAATTCCAGGTACTCAGGTACGGTAAAAATGAGGACCTTAAACATAATACAGAGTACAAAACACAATCAAATGTATCCATAGTAGGAAAACAGCATGTAAAGGATTTGGGAATAATAATGTCTGACGACCTAACGTTTAAGGAGCATAACCAAGCAAATATTGCGACAGCCAGAAAAATGATAGGATGGATTACGAGAACTTTCAAATCCAGGGATCCCATCACAATGATTGTACTCTTCAAGTCACTTGTGGTGTCCCGTCTTGAGTACTGCTCAGTACTCACTTCCCCCTTCAGAGCAGGAGAGATTGCTGAAATAGAGGGAATACAGAGAACATATACGGCACGCATAGACGCAATAAAGCACTTAAATTATTGGGATCGTCTCAAAGCCCTCCAAATGTACTCACTAGAAAGAAGACGAGAGAGATATCAAATAATATACACCTGGAAGATATTGGAGGGCCAAGTACCAAATCTACACAGTAAAATAACAACGTACTGGAGTGAACGATATGGAAGAAAATGCATAATAGAACCAGTGAAGAGCAGAGGTGCCATAGGCACAATCAGAGAACACTGTATAAACATCAGAGGTCCGCGGTTGTTCAACGTCCTCCCAGCAAGCATAAGAAATATTGCCGGAACAACCGTGGACATCTTCAAGAGGAAACTAGATTTATTCCTCCAAGGAGTGCCGGACCAACCGAGCTGTGGTGGGTATGTGGGCCTGCGAGCCGCTCCAAGCAACAGCCTAGTGGACCAGACTCTCACAAGTCAAGCCTGGCCTCGGGCCGGGCTTGGGGAGTAGAACTACTCCCAGAACCCCATCAACCAGGTAAACCAGGTATCATATTGTTTCCCTCACCCATCCATCCATCCATCCAGTTCCCCCACCATCCATCCAGTCCCCTCACCATCCATCCATCCATCCATCTAGTCCCCTCACCAAACATTCAGTCCCCTCACCATCCATCCTGTTGTTCTCCCAAGTACAATATTCAAGTGCGAATGTCATTAGGCGGGAGACACTGGTAAACTGTGCGCCTCATCCTGCTCCTCACCCAACAGAACAAAACTATGCGCTCGGTGGACCCGTACGTGTATAAAGTGGTTTACAAAAACCGAGGCAAACAACGAGTACCGAATCAAATTTTTCCAAGAAATTGAGTACAAGAACAAAAAAATACGAAAACAGGACATACGAAAACTGAGGTTCCACTATATTTAATAATAATTCTGACATTAGAAAGTGCAACTTGCACGATGTTCTTTATTTGGTCCTCAGGGGTTAGTTTTCTATCTAGAACCAGCCCAGATCTCTTGTAGGTATTGTACATCTCTTGTAGGAAATCTTATCCTACAGATCTTCCTACAGATATCTTGTAGGAAATGCATGCGACTGCATGCATTTCCTGCATGCAGTCGCTTATGCTCTCTTGTAGGTATTGTACCTGTTTTTGTGGTCAGTCTAAGCTTCTTCTCCCCTCTCACCTTGTTAATTAAGCCAGACTTGGGTCCTGACTCAGTAGGCAACAAGTCTCAGAGGCTAAGGTTTGGTGGTACTAGAGATAAGCTAAGGTGTCTACTGGAGGCCCACCAGAAATGGGTATTTCATTACATTCAACACAAGATTATTAATTAATGGAAATTATTTTAACAATATTTAAATGCCTGAGCATTCTTGCTTGTTGAGTACTGTACTAAGATTTTTTTTCTTCATCAGCTTCTCGTGTCACCAAAATAGAAAATACATTTCCCTCAAAATGAATGAAGTGTCCCTGGTTGGCTGGTGTGACTGTCGAGTCAGTTCTGTGCTGGGTAAGAACACACGCGAGCTTGGTAAACAGCACCTATTTGATGACTCGCCTGAGACCTGTTGGAATAGCGACCAAGGAACTCCTCAATGGGTAGCTCTCAGATGGAAGGACCCTGTTCTTGTCACTGCCATCACTGCTCAGTTTCAGGTAAAATTGAAACAATGTTAATAGGTGGTGTCCGGTGAAATACAACTATTTTCAGGTATCTCACTCAGTTGCTGACTAAAATAAGCTTCCATTGCTTCAGTAGGAACTCTTTGGATCCGAGTAGTGCAGTCGGGTTCGTTCTCGACTCACAATTGAGAATTCTAGGTTCAAATCTTGGGCGAGACAGAAATGGTTGGGTGCATTTCCTATTACCTAATGCCCCTGTCCACCTAACAGTAAATAGGAACCCAGGAGTTAGTCAGCTTGTTGTGTGTGGATGCATCCTGGGAATAGTCAGTAATTCGACCCAGAGGGTTGGGGTGGGGGGGACCTTGATATAAGCCTAGCATGTACTGTATGTATGAACTGGCTGCCAGTCCTCCGACGCAATAAATTGTGAATTTATGTACAATCAAGCAAAACTACATTCTGATTCCAGAACCACAATATATTTGTTTCGTGGCCTTCACATGCTTCTACTCAACTCCATAATTTCAGTCGTGAAGGGATGACCTTGATCCAAATGACGCAGAGGTTCAAATTAGCCAAATTTCTTATAACATATGTAAAAAATTGCAAATTTGTTCTTTTATAGCACCACAACCAACTTAATTTGTATTTCCACTTATAATAAACATAAATTTACATTGGTATGGGAGCATCTTCATATTAGTAAATAAAATAAAATGACAGTAACAGAAATTTCAACTTATCTGGTGAAGTTAATGGCTTATTGATCACAGAAGAATTTCAGTTTTGTACATTTACTTAACCTAACTCTAAAATTACTGTGCAAGTACTGGGTAAGGTCAGCTTTGACTTTCTGATCTTAACAAATAAGAAACTGTTTTGGGTTGTCTCCTTGTTTCATTGACATTTTCTGTACAAATGTATACTTTCTACTTCACGACTATCACTATTGGATGCATAATCCACTGATTTATCAACACAAGTCAGAAGATGACTGAATTTAGTTGTCGGTCGTAATTCCAGATAAGTGCTGGCCATCCTTTGGACTTTGCCCGGCAGGGGCAGGACACAAGCGTGTATTTACAAGCATAACTTCTTGTGTGGACTCTGAGAAACTGTTATCCTCAAGCAGCATGTGTATAGGGTTGCCTTCCCAATGTGCTCAGTGGTATTGCCTTTGCCCTGATATGGTGTCCTCCTTTCGTGAGTTTGGGAGTCTGTCCCTGAAAATGTCGAACACCTGTGGAGGGGTGCTTTGCTCTTTGACTCTTCTGCGGGACTTAAGGGTTAGGAGCGTTTGGGATCTCCTGCATCTGTTTGTGCACCTAGGGTGCACACCCAGATGCACCTGAGGGTGCATCTGGGGGGGGGGGTTCCAGCTTACACCCTTACCTTGAGGTGCTTCCGGGGCTTAGTGTCCCCGCGGCCCGGTCGTCGACCAGGCCTCCTGGTTGCTGGACTGATCAACCAGGCTGTTAGACGCGGCTGCTCGCAGCCTGACGTATGAGTCACAGCCTGGTTGATCAGGTATCCTTTGGAGGTGCTTATCCAGTTCTCTCTTGAACACTGTGAGGGGTCGGCCAGTTATGCCCCTTATGTGTAGTGGAAGCGTATTGAACAGTCTCGGGCCTCTGATGTTGATAGAGTTCTCTCTCAGAGTACCTGTTGCACCTCTGCTCTTCAACGGGGGTATTCTGCACATCCTGCCATGCCTCCTGGTCTCATGTGATGTTATTTCTGTGTGCAGGTTTGGGACCAGCCCCTCAATTATTTTCCACGTGTAAATTATTATGTATCTCTCCCGCCTGCGCTCAAGGGAGTACAGATTTAGGCTCTTTAGTCGGTCCCAGTAATTTAGATGTTTTACTGAGTGGATTCTAGCAGTAAAGGATCTCTGCACGCTCTCCAGGTCAGCAATTTCTCCAGCTTTGAAAGGGGCTGTCATTGTGCAGCAGTACTCCACTCTAGAGAGCACAAGCGTTTTGAAAAGTATCATCATCGGTATAGCATCTCTAGTGTGGAAAGTTCTTGTTATCCAACCTGTCATTTTTCTTGCAGTTGTGACGGCTACTTTATTGTGTTCTTTAAAGGTAAGGTCTTCCGACATGAGTACACCCAGATCCTTTCCATTGCAGCTTTTGTCATACAAGCTGTGTTCAGTGTTTGTTTCTTCAGTGAATGGCCCTAATGCATGATGATCCTTACCCATCAAGCACAAAAAACTGCTTGACAAGTGACACAGCAGCTACCATACGACAACACCGCCCTCGATAAAATGGCACCACCCAACATACTCCTCTTGCTGTTATTACACACGTTATATATTAGTATCTATATTTGTGTTCACCATCACGAACCACTTAGCTGGAATGGTGAGTCCAGACAGTAACAGGTGGCCATACAGAGTCAGCAGACAATGCTACCTCCCTCCCTCACCAAGATTACTCCTCCCACAATACTACGCACAACGCTAATTATCACCATGTTACGACCCTTGACCTCAGGGTATGGTTCCTCTGTTGCAGTTGGTAACATATAATAATATACGGCCTTGCCTCAGTAAATGTCTAGGGAAAATAATGCAACTGCTTACTTAACAAAGCAATATACTTAAGGTAAGGGTAACAAAGAACATACAAATAACATACATGGAAAAATGCTGGTAGCCAGAAATATTAATACACCAGTAATTAATCTTACAATGTCACTGTATAAAGACAAATCATTTCATGACAACATAAATGAATAGATGGGTAAGCACATAATAGTCTAACCAGGAAATCAGCTTAGTAAACTAAGCAATAAAACAAAAATCCACAAACTTAGCTCATCACATGTCTCCACCCGCCAGCTCTACTCACGCGACTGACGACCACCGCACGACATGGCATGGCGTCTACCACAAGACCAAACTAAAACCTACATGAAATCTCCTGATACTCTGCTATCAGAAAGTAGTACTTAAGAACATAATTATAATTAAACTTGTGTATATAACATTGCTAAGGTATAAAAGAATTTAAGTACAATCAATAACAGGAATAATTTCAATGATGAAACATTGATGCTAGCTTGAATACACGGCCCGCCACTGGAGCACTCCCAAATATGGTCATTCCCCCAGTGAGCTGCTACCGACTCTCCCCACAGGAATGAACAAGCAATAGCCTAACACAATATTCAATACAGGCACACTACAGCATGCTACATTTAAATCAAACATAATTATTCTGGAATACAACTGGATACCATGTTATATTTACTTAACGGGGAAAAGAAATAATGGACATACATATTTAGCATGAATGAATGTTAGAATCAAATATAGATTCGTAACACACAACAATCCTGCTATTATCAGAATCCTGGTCATTTTTATCATATCATGGGTCTTCTGTAATACTATCATTGCTAAATAATAGCAGTTACAGATATATTTTGACTTTTTAGGCGATGCTGTGGTCACAAGCTGAACAGCAGTGGTGTTAGCTCATGCTGCATGTGCCAGCCTTGGTTGCTCACTCAGTACTGAGGCTCTCAAACATGATGCATGGGTCCTGCAGCTTCTAAGCTAAGTGCTGGTTATCCTTGAACTTTGTCCTGTAGGGGCTGTCCTGTAGAGGCCAATTAGCTTGCTGCTGTTTCACATTTTAGTTAACTTCACAAGTGTGCTATCTGTCCAGTTTGTTTTGTGTAGACCTTGCTTGTAGGGTACTTGGAACTATTGTACATGTGCTCAAGGTTCCCTATGTGCTCCTTCATGCTACCCCTGCACTGACAAGAGTTCTCTTCTCTAGTGTGTTCAGGAGTTTGCTCTTTAGAGGCCAGACAACTAGGGTGGGACCTTACCCTGGGTGTGTCAGGGTCTTTTGCTTCTCTGCCTAGATCCTTTGTTGGGGGCAAACATTTTGGCTGGTTAGGGTGCACTGAGGGTTCGTGCACTCATTTTACAGGTCATACCAAGGTAGGGCTTCATGATCATATTAAATAGGCTATGTCAGTCTACTTATGTTATTCCCTGCAAGCGTCCTACTCTCCTTCCCTCCCTCATTGTCACTCTCCCTCCCTCCCTCCCTCATTGCCACTCTCCCTCCCTCACTGCCACTCTCCCTCACTGCCTCCCTCATAACATGAGAACTTCATGCCATGGATGAAGCTACTAATGAAGTCGAGGTTAGGGATATCAGAGGGAGCCCATCCCTCCCCAGCCACCGAGACCCCTTCCCCCACCCTCCTAGATCCAACATATCTGTCTGCCTCTGCTCGCAGATGCCAGCTGTGCATAATTCATAAATAAAACTGCATTAGATTAATTAATAAACAGGAAGCAATAAATCATGTTAATGATTAATAATGTATAATAAAACACAAAAATTAACATACTTTAGCATAAATATTGTACAGCTAAGATTAAAAATTTTAATACAGGTATGGGCGGGTTTAGTAACCATCGCTTGGTCAGTGATCCTTCCCAACCCTCCTCCATGGCCACCTTACCTCCCCACCTTCACCACTACCACTACCTCACTGCCACTCTCCCTCACTTCCTCCCTTCCCTCTCTCCCTCAATGCCTCCCTCCATCACTGCCTCCCTCCCTCAGTGCCTCCCTCCATCACTGCCTCCCTCCCTCAATGCCTTCCCTCCCTCCCTCACTGCCTATCCTCTCTCACTGCTTCTATCCCTCTTCTCTCCCTCTTACCTGCCTGTCTCCCTCCCTCAATGCCTTCCCTCCCTCCCTCAATGCCTTCCCTCCCTCCCTCAATGCCTTCCCTCCCTCAATGCCTTCCCTCCCTCCCTCAATGCCTTCCCTCCCTCCCTCATTGCCTTCCCTCCCTCCCTCATTGCCTTCCCTCCCTTCATCACTGCCTCCCTCCATCAATCACTGTCTCCCCTCCCTCCCTGAATGCCTTCCCTCCCTCCCTCCATTACTGCCTCCCTCGATCAATCACTGCCTCCTCTCCCTCCCTCTCTCATTGCCTTCCCTCCCTCCATCAATCACTGCCTCCTCTCCCTCCCTCAATGCCTTCCC